GTTGCCCCCCTCGTTCGCGCTCAGGGGCTGCTGTGACTGGGCTGGAGCGCCCCCGCCCACGGCAGGCCCTGCCAGGCTGGAGCAGCTCCCTGCTGTAACCGATAAGCGTCATCTGGCAAGCCATTCAGTGGCCATTGGGCCCTCGGTCAGAATGGTATGCCTCCTCGTAGGGGAATCCCAGCTCTGGGACAAGGGGGGGCAGACAGGGAGGAGTCCCCACTGTGATGTGGTTTTGTTTCTTCCAGACCATCCCACATCAAGCACTCCCGCTCCCGTGACAGCGAGACCCTAAGCAAAATCCCTCCTGTTAGCAAACAAAGCAAGCGCGCTGAATCTCTGCAGAAGGACATCAACCTTGTTGTGCAGGTAGGTGCATGTTCCACCCCGCCCGCTGCAGTGTTTGCTAGGCCCTGCCACAGGCTGCTCGGCTGCTCCCCCTAGAGCTAGACCCGGGAGCGCGCTGCTGGCATTGACGGTATCTTTGCTCCAGAGCTGGTAGTCTTTGTTTGGGTGATTTTCTTTCCCCCTTTCTCTCTGCCCAGTCTTTCTACTCTCATTATTTCCTCCTACCTCCCAGCAAGATCCTTCTCCTTCTTGTTTTGCTCCCCACCAGCAGTTGGAGAATTCTTGCTGATTTCCCCTTTCTTTACTTCCAAACCTGCTTCCTCTGACAGGGAAGATCAGATGCTGCTTCCTCTGCAGTTTTTCGGCATCACTCTTGAGCTGACCAGAAGGTTCTGTGCTTCCCCTGCTGCCTAGGGCACAGAGCCAGAAGTAGGTTCCTGAACTTGGCTGCATGCACAAGATGTGACCATTAAACTGAGCCGAATCCTTGATGCGTCCTCCTCAGAGGACTGTAGGAGCTGCTGGGAATCCTGCGAGCCCCAGGACTGGCTGTAGGGAAGCAGGGAGAAAGAACTGTTAACTGGCAGGGTACTTGACTCTTTGCAGGCTCGCTTCACTCTAGGCATGTTCACGGTGTACCCTGGATTTGGATCCATCCCTGCAGGAGGCCAGCAGATCATCACCGTTGATTGTTTAGCAGAGCCAGTGGGAAAGGATGAGGAATACCTGGCCATTGACATCACTGACAGGGACCCTGACGATAATCCGGGAGGCATCCCGTACACCCTGATCGCTGAGTCCTGCCTGCCAGGTACAGACACGCTCCTTTGCCGGGGGGCATTATCCTGGGCACCCCACTTGAGAGAAGGGGGCTCATCTTGAACACCTCCGCTGCTGGCTTCCAACCCGCTACAGGATTGCAGAGAACCAGCTCTCCAGCTTGAGAGTGTAAACTGATCACCGTAGGCTGGCTCAGGTGTCCAACCTCCACATGTTCTATGGCCTTTTTCTGCTGAGGCACCATCACCAGCCCCACCCCTTCCAGGAGCACAGAGCTGCCCCTTCACCTTGCCCACGGACCCAGAAAGTCTGTTGGCCCTCCTGCTTCCGGGTGTGAGCCGCTGTGAATAGGGCAAGGGGATTGGAATAGTTTTACTCCAGTGCTAGTGGAAGAACACCTGGCCTTGAGGACCAGATGAGATCTGTGTATGGGGCAGTGCAATTCCAGGTTGTCCAAAGAACCATGATGCAGAGAAAGCACAGAGAGGTCCCTGTGATGTCACTTACCTCTTTTGTGTACAGCAAATCTTCTTTCTCCCTGATAGTCCTGTCCCATGTACAGGAGTACAGGCTGGAGAGCTGTTAGCTTTGCCATTGATGGAACACACACGCTGTGGGTTATTGACAGTGGGAAGTGAACCTGGGATCTCTGGTTCTCAAAGCCTGAGCCGCTACTGCTGGCAATAAACGTTAGCTCCAACTGTAGTGAGCTCTTCAACCCCTCAGTGTGGCCCAGCCACCTCTGACGTGCGACAGAGCAGCACACAGAGTGGGCGAGAGGTAGGCAGAGGGAGGCAGCAGCGGCACATGCCTTCTGAGCCAGAGGTGTGAAGTTCAACCGATGCTCGCTTGGGTGAGCCGGTACCCGACTTGTGCAAAAAGGACTTCCTGAGACAAGTCAGCCCTGCATGAAAGCCCCTCTAGTCAGTAGATTTGCTCCCAAGACAGGGTGGGCCTGTGTGTTTCATCCCAGAAGACAATGCCCTGGCTCTACTGTCGTGTCTGTTTTCCCTCAGCCTTTGTGGTTGATGACATTGGGTCTATTTTCGAGGAGCATCGGATCTGCAGCAACATCAACCTTTACCAGATCTTGCAGACGGTGGAAGGCAGCGGGGTGTTTGTGTCAGATGAGAACAAGTTCATCTTCAGCAATGTGGTGGTGGGGAACCGGGCGACAGCTCGGTTCAAGATCGCCAATGTGGGCCGAATTCCCTGCGATGTGGTTCTCGCAGTCAAGCCTGTCTCCAGCAAGGTCAGAATCAGAGCTCCAGGCAGGGCTGTGGGACTATCCGCTGGAGGCAGTGTGTGGCCTCGGCCTTGCCAGGTTGGACCCCGTGAGCGGAATGTCTCTCCTGCCCGTGCCCCTAGCATTAGCTGGCTGCCCGGGCTGATCCCTGCTGCCTGATCCACCAGAAGCCTCCAGATCAGCCCAGTGCTGGTGGTGCCTGGCACGAGGGATCCGATTAGCCCACGTGTACTGAAAGGAAGAAGTCCTGGGGAACAATGTCCCCCCTCGCCCAGGGGAGTGACAGTCTCATTCCTCACGCTATTGTGTAAGCAGCCCCGATTAGCCCGCCTCGCCAGCATCCTGCGCCCCTTCCTTAAATGGCTCCTGGCCCCTGACAAACTTGTACACAGAGGGTGGCGCTGGTCGGCCTTGACGTCAAGCCAGTGTGGGCTGTTTTCAGCTCCCTTGATCGCTCCTCCCCTGCGTGAACGGGGCAGCTTGCTCCCGTTGAGCCCAGAGGTTGGTGAGATTTGGGAGCTAATCAGTAACCGGGGCGCACGGTGACTAGTGCACCCATCCAGGGCTGCAGCAGGGCCTGCTAAGGGAGCCCTTGCCAGCCGCGGTCACACGCTGGTGTCCCATCGCTTCCCATCTCTTGGAACAGGCAGAGCTTTCGCTGCTGCCTACGGTTAGGTCAGACATGCTGTTTGACATCCCTACCTGTGCAGGAGTGGCGAGCCTGGGGGCTCCCACACAGTGTGACTTCTGCTGCCTGGCTCTAGGCGAGGGGTATTTCATGGCCACCCCTGCTGTCTGGGTTTCCCTGAAGGCTGCTGCCCGCATTAGCGACATCTTCGAGGTGGATCCTGTTCGGATGTGTGTCCCCAGCCGCTCCCATGCCTTTGCTACTGTGACTTTCACCCCACAGACAATGCAGAGCTACCAGTGCATTTTTGAAGCTTTCCTTGATGGACTGCCAAGGTAATCTAACCCACTGCTTCCTGAAGGAGGCTCAGTCTGTGCTCTGTACATTGCAGGCATGTGCCTAGAATGAAGGGTTTTTCCCTGCTCTCTGCAGCGTGGTGGCTAAATTGCGAAATTTAACATTTGATATCAGTGGGGATGGGAACTTACCCCGAGTGACCATCTTGCGCCCCATCCTCCGCAACAAAAGAGGAAACCCCCTGCTCCTTTTCAAGAGGCTTCTGCTAGAGCGTTCGGAGAAGCTCCCTTTTGTCTTTAAGAACAGTGGTGTGATACCTGTCCAGGTAATAACTTCTCGGCAAAAGCTTAAAAGATGGCACTGAAGCAAATTGTCTTCCTTTTATGGACAAGCCTTATAGACTTTTATTACAAAGGAAGCCTGTAGAGTGGTCTAGAAAGCACATTCACACTCTCAGGAATTGAATAGAGAATGAGATTGTTTCTGATGTGTTTTGAACCAGCCTACAGAGTTCCATGGTAAGAATGTGCTTCTCTATTAAATTCCATGGGGCACTTTTGAAGCCCAATAGAAATGCTCTGATTTGCTATGAGATTCTGCAGGACGCTTCCAAAGGGGATTTTGACTTATCAGCTGTGTCTCCTTTCCAATAACTTCTTAACTGTCTTCTCCTGTCTGAAGTTATGTCCCTCAGTACCAGCTCTCCTTTTGTGCCTTAATCAACCATGAACTGAAATGGGTGTCAGTCGGTCAGTCAAGAGTAGGGATGTTAAATATCGGTTAATTGAATAGCCAAGTAACCTCATGAAATTGTATCCGTTAGTTGACTATTCTATCGTCCCTGGGGGCGAGGCCAGCAGCTACTGCATCCAAGGCAGCAGCGCAGGATGCCAGGCAGGAGCTGGTCCGTAAGGGCAGCCAGTTGAAAAACCAGACCGGCTGCCTATCGCCCTGTGCTGCTGCTTCTGAGAAGGTGGCAGCAGTCCCTGTCTAGGGGCGGTCTGAGCTCTCGGACTCAGCGTGAGCCGGGCTGCCTACTCTCCCTGCTCCTAATACACTTTAAATGCTGAGCTGCAGCGGGGGTACATCCCGGACCCGCTGCAAGCCAGGACTGCTAAAAAATGTACTGGCAGGGAGACGGGGAGAGAGGAATGCATGTAGTCTACTGCATTAACTTACAAGCTTTTGCTTATTGGTTAATCGACTGCACTATTACATCCCTAGTCAAGATAGCGAATAGCTGACTTTCACTTGTCCTTGGGGGCATGTGGTTTTCTGACTAATTTGCTCTTGTTACTTAACAATATCAGAAGAAAACTGTTATTTTCCTCTTCAAAGTTGGCTTCTAATTATGTTACAGGCAGTCCCCGGGTTACGTACAAGATAGGGACTGTAGGTTTGTTCTTAAGTTGAATTTGTATGTAAGTCGGAACTGGCGTCCAGATTCAGCCGCTGCTGAAACTGACC